TAAATCTTCTAATTACCCTTTTCTCTACCCATCCTAATCTTTTTTTCTTTATTGATTAAGGTATTACATATGTGTCCTTATCCCGCCATTGCCCCCACCCCCCCATACCGCTCATGCCCTCACCCCCCTGGTGTATGTGTCCATTGGTTATGCTTATATGCCTGCATACAAGTCCTTTTGTTGAACTCTCCCCCTTACCCCCACCCTCCCGTACCTTCCCTCTGAAGTTTGAGCATCTGATCGATGCTTCTCTGTCTCTAGATCTGTTTTCGTTCATCAGTTCATGTGTTCATTATATTCCACAAATGAGTGAGATCATGTGATATTTATCTTTATCTGACTTATTTCGCTTAGCATAATGCTCTCCAGGTCCATCCATGATGTTACAAATGTAGGAGTTCCTTCCTTTTTATAGCAGCATAGTATTTCATTGTGTAGATGTACCACAGTTTTCTAATCCATTCATCTGCTGATGGGCATTTAGGCTGTTTCCAAATCTTAGCTATTGTAAATTGTGCTGCTATGAACATAAGGATGCATATATCCTTTCTGATTGGTGTTTCTAGTTTCTTGGGATATATTCCTACAAGTGGGATCACTGGGTCAAATGGGAGTTCCATTTTTATTTTTTGAGGAAACTCCATACTGTTCTACACAGTGGCTGCACCAGTCTGCATTCCCACCAGCAGTGCACGAGGGTTCCTTTTTTTTCACATCCTCGCCAGCACTTGTCATTTGTGGATTTGATGATAGCCATTCTGACAGGTGTGAGATGGTACCTCATTGTCGTTTTGATTTGCATCTCTCGGATGATTAGTGACTGTGAGCATGTTTTCATATGTTTCTTGGCCATCCTTATGTCCTCTTTAGAAAAGTATCCATTTAAGTCCATTGCCCATTTTTTTATTGGGTTGTTTATCTTCCTTTTGTTAAGTTGTATGAGTTCCCTGTAAATGTTGGAGATTAAACCCTTATCGGAGATAACATTGGCAAGTATGTTCTCCCATGCCATGGGTTTTCTTGTTTTGTTGATGGTTTCCTTTGCTGTGCAGAAGCTTTTTATTTTGATGTAGTCCCATTTGTTTATTTTCTCTTTAGTTTCCATTGCCCTAGGTCCTAGGAGCTGTATCAGTGAAGATATTGCTTTGGCATATGTCTAAGATTTTGCTGCCTGTTGATTCCTCTAAGATTTTTATGGTTTCCCGTCTTACGTTTAAGTCCTTTATCCATTTTGAGTTTATTTTTGTGAATGGTGTAAGTTGGTGGTCTAGTTTCATTTTTTTTTGCATGTATCTGTCCAACAAAATTCTAGCAAATCAGATCCAGCATTACATCAGAAAGATGATACACCATGACCAAGTAGGATTTATCCCAGGGATGCAAGGATGGTACAATATCCATAAATCAATAAACATGATACATCACATAAACAAATTGAGAGATAAAAATCACATAGTCATATCAATTGATGCATAAAAAGCATTTGACAAAATCCAACACCCTTTCTTGATAAAAACCCTCAGCAAATTTGGAATAGAGGGATCATACCTCAACATAATAAAAGTCTTATGTGACAAACCTACAGCCAACATCATGCTCAGTGTGCAAAAACTAAAACCATTTCACCTAAGAACAGGAAAAAGACAGGGATGACCACTTTGACCACTCCTGTTCAACATAGTGCAATTAGACAAGAAAAAGAAATAAAAGGTATCCAAATTGGGAAAGAAGACGTAAAACTGTCATTCTCAGATGGCTTGATACTGTACATAGAAAACTCTAAAGACTCCATCGAAATTATTAGTCTTAATAAATGAATTCAGCAATGTAGCAGGATACAAAATTAACATCTAGAAATCTATGGCATTTTTATACACCAATAGTGAACTTACAGAAAGAGAGATTAAAAAAACAATCCCATTTATCATTGCACCAAAAAAATTAAGATACCTAGGAATAAACTTAACTAAGGAGGTAAAAGATCTGTACTCGGAAAACTACAGGACACTGAAAAAAGAGATAGAGGAAGACATAAACAGATGGAAGAACATACAGTGTTCATAGATTGGTAGAATCAACATCATTAAAATGTCCATACTATCCAAAGCAATCTATAGATTCAATGCACTCCCCATTAAAATACCAACGGCATATTTCACAGACCTAGAACAAACGCTCCAAAAATTCATCTGGAATAAAAAAAGGCCCTGAATAGCCACAGCAATCCTAAGAAAAGAACAAAGTAGGAGGGATCTGAATACCAGGTATCAAGCTGTATTACAAAGGCACTGTTCTCAAAATGGCCTGATGTGACACAAGAACAGACATATAGATCAATGGAATAGAATAGAGAACCCAGAAATTGACCCAAACCACTGTGCTCAATTAATATTTGACAAAGGAGGCAAGAGCATACAATGGAGTCAAGACAGTTTAATCTTTTATTTACTTTTATTTCTAAATAATCATAGATTCACAGGAGGTTGCAAAGAAATGTACAGGGAAGTCCTGTGCACCCTTCCTCAACCCTCCTTCAATGTTGACATCTTGCACAATTATAGTACAATCAAGAAGTTGACATTGGTACAATGCATAGAGCTTATTCACTTTTCACCAGTTATACATGTACTAGTGTGTGTGTGTGTGTGTGTGTGTGTGTGTGTGTGTGTGTAGTTCTATGTGGCTTTGCATAGCCACAACTCCTTCCACAATCAAAATACAGAACTATACCATCACCACAAGATTCTTTCATGCAACTATACCTATCCTTCACCTCTGGCAACCGCTAATGGTATATAAGTGGAATCGTGCAATATGTATTTGGGGATTGACCTTGTTCACCCAGCATAATTCCCTTGAGACCCATCCAAGTTCTTTTACATGTATTTGTAGTTTCTTTCTTTTTATTGATGAGCAATCTTCTAATGATATGGATGTACCACAGTTTAACTAATCACTTGTTGTATTTTATCTGAGTTGTTTCAAGTTTGGATTGTTACAAATAAAGCTGCTATGTTCATTTATGTGCAAGTTCCTATATGAAAATGTCTTAATTTCTCTTGAATAAATGTGCAAGAATCAATTGCTAAATCGTATGGTAAGTCTATTTTTAGTTTTGATGGAAATTGCCAAAATATTTTTCCAGAGTGGCTATATCATTTTACTTTCTCACCCACAATATATGTGTGATATTGTTTTTCCTACATCCTCACCAGCAGTGATGTTATTACTATTTTTCATTTTAGCCATTTTTATATGTGGCTCATCATAGTTTTCTGATCTTTTGAGACTTAAGTCAAGAGGGACCCCTGTAGAGTCTTTTCTAACATCATCTGTAAGTCGATTACTCTCTCCTCTATGCCATTTCTGCTACTTCATTCATCATTGTATTTTAATTATTTATTGACATAGTCTGACTCTTCCCTCTGTTCTGAGCCACATGAAGATAAAAACTGTGCCACATTCATCTTTGTTCCTGCAACATCTGGTACAGATTTATGCTGGACACACAGAGGGTGCTCAGTTAATGTCCAAACTGAGGGAAAGAATGAATGAGAAAACCTTAGTCTTTCTTGCCTCCCATTCCTCTACATTACCTGTAAACCTTTTTTAGAAAAGAAATCATTCCTTCCACTCTGTCTCACAGCAGCAACTAGTAAGGTGCTGTGTACATGTGGATGCTCAATAAATGTTGGCTCACTATTCAGGTGGCTTATCATCCCTCTGCACCCAAGAGATAAGCACATGAAAGAGAGGGTAGGCCTGAGTATTCCTATATTGAGTATCATATGTCATAAGTTTTATAATATTCTTATAATCTCCACAATCACTCAATATTTGTCTGCATAGATGAGAAATCAAAACAAAACAGTCATTTGGGTCAAAGAATGAGATTCTGCAGCTGAGCACTTCTCAATAGTTTCAATCCCCTTGTTACATATGAATTTGAGAGATCAGCATTTTATATCCCTGAATTCTTTTTGCAGTTTCAGAAGGATCTGGGATTTTTCTGTTTTTGCTGCACTGGTATAATTTGACATGTTGACTATGAAGGGGTATTAACCCCAGCATTTTTAATCACTTTTTTACTCTGCTTTTTCTCAACTCTAAAGTATGTTAATTTGCACATGTTTATATGTCTCTGTGAGTTACTCAGGCCCTTGAGTACTGGTATATGTTTTGTCTGGGAACTAGATTGTAAGCCCCTTGAGAGCAGGGACCTTATAACTCCTAGGAATGTATTCTGGACATCGTCAGTGTTCAATTAATGAGAATACTGGAAACCTGACTAAGGTCATCTGTAACATTGACAACTTCCTTTTCTAACTTGAAAAAAGTTGTTAGGTTGATTTGATAACATTGAATGATTCTACTGAAAATTATGCTAATTTCTACCCACTACAATTTGTTCTTTAGGCTGCTTTCAGATTTATAGTTTTGGATCAGTTGTTGCAGTTCCCTTCCCTGTAATGCTCTGGTTTACAAAGGAATTGGGGAGGGCTGAATTTCATAACCCAGAAGTTCTTTAGCATAATAAAAAGTAAGCTGATAATGTTTATACTTTCAAAGCATGTAATTCTTTCACCAGCCCCCAGTGATAACTAGGTGATAAACTCAAAGTATGTTGACAATCTTAATTATGAGAAATAATCCTTAATAACCAGTCAATATATATGTCTTATTTTCCCAGATTGTAAAATGAAGTAATTGTGTACACTGTGTACTATGACTGTTGAAGTTAAATTAATTTGAAAGTTTCAAGGAAGTCTGAGTTCTAAAACTCAGGACAAATTCGGTACTTAGTGAGGGTGGAGTTGGATAGAATTTTTCTGATTCATCCTTTTTAGATGGAAAGTGTGATGAGTTTGACAAGTTGTATTTTTTTCCTTCAATATTTCCTGACTCAACTATACCTCCTACTGGATCCACCATCATCACCACCTCTAGAGCAAACTAACCTATCATTTTCTGACATTTTATATTCTTTCTCTTTTCTACAGTGTACTAAAGGAGGTATATATGGCCTTTAATCCCAAAGCGGTGGTCTTACAGCTGGGAGCTGATACAATAGCTGGGGATCCCATGTGCTCCTTTAACATGACTCCAGTGGGAATTGGCAGGTGTCTTAAGTACATCCTTCAGTGGCAATTGGCAACACTCATTTTGGGAGGAGGTGAGTACAAAGGAAGGTCACCAGGAGAATTTGTTGACCTTCCTCCATATTTTATTTATTGACACTGAGGAAAACTTGACTTTCTTAGATTAGATAATATCAACCTGCCTGTGGTCCAGAAGCCTGATTCATTGAATTCTCCTACCTTCATAGTACAGCATAAGGAAGTATTGATACACTTCTCCTCAGTTTGGTGTATGCATTGACTCCTTGGCACTCCGATACAAAATGTTCAAAACATTAATAGTGACACCAGATCTTATTAAGAACTAGAGGCCCGGTGCATGAAAATCATGCACTTGCGGGGGAGGGGTCCCTCAGCCCGGATTGCGAGAGGGCGCAGGCCAGGCTGAGGGACCCCATCGGTGCAGAATGGAGGCCGGGGAGAGATGTGGGAGGTTGGCCAGCCAGGGAGGGACCACAGGAGGGCCTCAGGGCATGTCTGGCCCATCTTGCTCAGTCCTGATCAGCCAGACCCCAGCAGCAAGCTAACCTACAGGTTGGAGCATCTGGTGGTCAGTGAATGTCATAGTGAGCAGTTGAATGGCCTTAGCATATCATTAGCATATTATGCTTTCATTGGTTGAATGGCCGACCGGATGGCCGGACACTTAGCATGTTAGGCTTTTATTATATAGGATAGAGAATGCTAACAGTGGATTTTGATCCATCTTCTTTCAGTGTAGTTTTGATTCCCAGTTCTAATAATAATCTTATAGAAACATACCACTAAAATTCTAACCCTACTCATATATATGTAGTGAACACATGAATTCATTAAACCTAAGCTGAAATCAGGAATGACTTCTGCCCCACAACATCCTAAAAAAAAATATGGATTTGTACAATAAAGTAAAATTGAGAGATCTAAAGAGTCTATTGGACATTCTTGCCCTCTGTGTACTGATGTTTTGTATTACTTAACCAACAGAAGCTGAGTTTGTTCAATAGAAACATTTACACATTTGCGAAAGGCACCTATCACAACCTCAACTACCTTTGAAGATGCCTTGCTTAGAATCTTCGATCTATCTGGCAGAGTCTTTATTTTATTGGGTGAATGCATCAATGTGTTAAAATAACATGGTCAAGTTAGATTGAGCTTAAAATGTATGTATTATGGAACAGCTTATAGTTTGTGGTTCTGTCAGCCTGTTGTAAAAAACAAAGTTAGAAGAAACCATGGGAAGGCCTTATGAATGAGCATTCAATACAAATACACAAGCCTGGTCCTTTGGCAGCCTCGAACTCTAGAGGGATCAAAATTAAAGGTGCTTACAGAGACAACCTCTTATAAAGAGCCAGAAAGAAATGTATTAACTTCAACTCAGGGAAAAAATAACATTGATAACTGCTGTGTGGCATATAACTTTCTTTACCAGCACAAAGAATGATTATTATGATAGAAGTATAGTTACAGGAAAAGAAAACAAAAGACCTTTCCACAACACATATCTGTGCAAATTCAACTTTTGTTTGAGGCTTCAACCTATACTTAGCATTTTTAAGGCCTCTTAGCTTCCTCAGTCCAAAGTTTTGGCTTTTGAAAATGTGTATTCCTGAAATGCCTGTGCATAAGTGGAATTTTTAGAAATCATATTGCATGTACACTAGAGAGAACTATTACTTAAAACCTATAGTGATTCTTTTTTGAAATCAAATAATCATTCCCAATAAGTCAACCTTAGAAATTTAGATTTTTCACATCAGGAGTGTTTAAAGTAATACCTATACTATTTCACTCAAATTTTCAACCACCAATAATGCATAAACAGTTAGGGGAGGTGGCCATAGCCTCAAGCTTCAGTGGACCTTATTGAGGCCAAAAGACACATTCTAAAAGCCCCAGTATCCCTGACCTTTCAAGGAGTAAAAAGACTTAAGGAATGGATGCCCATATGTCTCAATTTATACATGTTATCCCAGTGTAATTATTTTTTTAATATATTTTTATTGATTTCAGAGAGGAAGGGAGAGGGAGAGAGAGATAGAAACATCAATGATGAGAGAGAATCATTGATCAGCTGCCTCCTGTAAGTTCCACACTGGGGAACGAGTCCGCAACTTGGGAATGTGCCCTGACCAGGAATTGAACCTGTGACCTTCTGGTTCATAGGTCGATGCTCAACCACTGGGCCCCAGTGTAATTGTTAATAGTGTCCCACTTTACCCTTAAAATTGTATCATTTTGGATGATAAATTTTATGGTTACCCTACCTAAAATATACTAAATTCAATTTCCCTCAGGCTGCATTGAGGTTAGGAAATCATTCTTTTTTATCCTTACACTTTTGGAATTTAGCTAAAGGCCAGTATTCTAATGCTTGCATGGCAGAACACATCTATTCAGAACAAAAATACTCTGATTGTTAGCCTGTAGATATGGCTTCTGGGTGATTGACAGGACCTGACAAGATGGGTCAGAGTGTCAATCAACAGTCCCTTTCTCAGCTTATTCTCTTTGATCTCTGCTACTAGGCCTGCATTTTGTGGAAAAAAAGAATGCTGATAATAAAATAAGGAAGTTTGTTTCTGTTAGCATTTTCCTTTTCTCTTCCCAGGATGTATCTAGAGCTACATCTGCCAATAGATTTAACATGCAAACCACATCCAGCAGTCATTTTATAGAATTGTTGCAAAATTCATCACAGAAACCTTCATGTTGGGTAGGTCATCTCAAGAGATCTAGGTTCCAGATATCTCATTCTTGCAGATTACTCTTGATGGAATTGAGGAGCTTAGAGTCCCCAGGTGCATATTTGTTCTAAAACTAGAACCTTTTTAATCTTCGTAGGCCTTGAACTTCCCAGTTCCACACTGTGCATGGTCTGACTGGTCTACTGAAGTCTGACTACCAGGTGGTTTAAAAATATAAGGGTATGTTTGGGTGAAATTCTGCAAGTTGAAATTGTCTTTTTAGCCATTTTATTAAAACATTTTTCTCTCCTTCCTTACCCTCTTCCCTCTCCTGCTGTTTTGTGACTATTCTTTCCTAACTTCACAATTCTTGATGGAGACAGGAGGCTATAACCTTGCCAACACGGCTCGATGCTGGACATACTTGACCGGGGTCATCCTAGGGAAAACACTATCCTCTGAGATCCCAGATCATGAGGTAAGTAAGGCTCTGACAAGTCCTCTCTTCTTTAAGGGGAAGAGCTGAGTCATTCCACCTAATCAAAATCACGTCCTCACTACTCAATACTGTTTTGTTGAGAGACACTCTAATAACAATAACATACTGTCTTGGCAGAATAGTGGACTCTTGTTCCAAAATATCCAAGACCTTCTGCCTTTTTTACAAGAGACCTCAAAGGCCAACCAACTTTAATTTCTCAATTAATTACAGAGACTGTGGGAAGGGGTCACCTGTTCACACAAAGAACTCTTTGGAATATGGGTATATTTTCATCCCCAACCTCAAAAAAGAAGTGGCAGTTTTCTAAGCTTGGATCTCATCTATCTTTAAAAAGTCCCATAGGCAGTATGTCGCACCTATGTTCTTTGGTGGTAGTCCTAATTTCTCAATTTTCTTTGGCTAATATAAAATTTAAGAAATACAGATCATCACAAAGACAGGGTTGGTGCTTTTCCAGTGATTAGTGGCACACAGAGGTTGGGGTAGGACCATTCAAAATGTGAACCATGTCATTTAAATCCTCACCATTTTCTTTAATCATGAGTTGAGCTTTACATTTTCCATAGCAAAATGCCTGCTCTAGTTTTCCCAAAACAGGTTAATAGAAAGCTATCTGGAACCTGTGAGTGTGCTGACAATCCTTTACCCAAAGGTGTATCCCTTCTCTTCCCACCTACATCCATACCTGGCAGGAAGCATGTTATCACAGATCAGGATGTGTAGCTGCAGGCCTTAGACTGTGTGACTTTATAATAATAACTTTATAATAATAAATCCACTTTCTCAAGCCAATTCCCAAGGTGTAAAGATGGTACTTTGATTATAATGTTTTGATTCCTCCCAGAAACAGAAGCTGTGCACTTGGGAGCATTATGTTTTTGAAAGTTGGTATTATTTTTTAAAAAATTAGAAACAAACTAATTTTCTTACAATTTTCTTCTAACCAGAGATGAGGTATAATATGTATCTCAGAAAAAAAAACTCAGTATGTCTAGAATACAAATAGAAGGCAAGCTATAATTTGAGACAATTTGCTGGTGTCAGGGTTAATAGAAGTTTCTTTCCTTGACTTAACTTACCTTTATTCAGTACTTGGAAGCTTTATGAAATATAAAGGTAAGCAAACAAATGTAATCATTGTTATTGCTGTGGGAATATCTCATATTGCATTATAACTTAAAGCACTGAGACTTTAAAAACTGATCAAGTTTTGTCAAAAAATAGTTTTAAGCATATAGAAGCCTGAATTAAGAATGTGTTCTGTTCCTAGGAAACAATGTAAATCCATAGAGTCATCTGTCTTAAAAGGTTGATAACATTTTAATAAAGATGAATACTGCCTCTGGTACCTGGAAAAGCAATGTGCCTCAATAGGTGTAAGTTTGGCCTTATAGATAGACATGCCCTGTCTTTATACTGACATATTCTGCCAGATTAAATGAGATCTAATGTATGCCAAGTGCCTAACACAGTTCTTGGAACATAATAGGCACATTTGACGTCTAAATTTTCTCCTTCCCCTTTGTATGCTTCTAACAACTTCTTATAATCAGACATTTATGACTTTGTGATTCATAAATTTGCCCAAATCTTTTTTGAATCCCTTCTATAATATCCTTCTGGTATTAGAGATGTGAGTCATCCAAGAAGGAACAAAGAAAACAATTGAAATGATAGTCTTCCAAGTTTAATAAGATAATATTTTCATGAAAATTGCCAAACATAGACTCTACAGTGTGAAGGCATAAATAAGTTTTGTGCCACAATACACAGTTGCACACAAATATGCTTGTGGCCCTCTATAATCAGATAAACAAATGGTAGATAAAAAAAAATATTTACTGAGTACCCATTGTTGAAAAATGCAGACTCCAAAACCCCTACCTGAAGCATCAGGGAAGGTGGGCAGTATAAGTGCTAGAGGAATGTGTAGATAACAAAAATAATTATATTGCAGAGCAGAATAAGAACCACAAGACAGTAGGAACAATGGCTATGGAGATGTGCTTCAAATATAAACAGGATACAGAGGAGTGTACAAAATACCCTGCCCTCCAAGAGCTGAAAATATTATTGAGAAATATAGTCACTGACAAGGTCAAGACAGTGTAGCAGGCAACCACAGTCTGGCTGACTCCCTCACTGTCTTCACTCTCAGTCTTGGGCTTTTGTTCTGTCTCCTTGGATAATAATCTTCCTCCTCTTCTAAATGCCTTTACCCCACCTCTCTGCTATCTTCCTAGGTCCAGCTTCAAGTCCTATGCCTTTAATAATCCCTTACCTAAATATACCAAAACCCTTTCACCTCTTTCTTCACATTTGTTTATTAAATGTTTCATCTTCATTTAACAAATATTCCTTGGGCCCCTACGACTTGCCTGGCCCTATTCAGACCTAGATGCAGAGATACAAAGACTGACAAGATAGCCTGGCCAGTGTCAGGAAGTCACGGTTCAAGTCCCGGTCAGGACTCATGCCTGGTTTTGTTAGGTTGCATGCCCGGGTTACAGGCTGGATCCCTGGTGTGAGGGGTATGCAAGAGGTATCCAATCGATGTTGATGTTTCTCTCTCATAGATGTACATATTTAGGGTTGTCAGATGTTCTTGATAAATGTACCCTTTATTAATATGAAATATACCTCTTTATCTCTGGTAATATTCCTTGTAATGAAGTCTTCTTTGTTTGATTTTAATATTTTCACACCTGTTTTCTTATGATTATTATTTGTGGAGTATATATTTTTCTGTCCTTTTACTTTTAACCTATTTGTAGCTTCATATTTAAATTGTTTTTCTTATAGACAGCATATGGTTGGTTCCTGATTTTTTTATCCATTTTGAAATCTTAGCCTTTTTGTTGGAGTACCTAGAAAATTCACCTTTAAGTAAATTATTTATATGTTTAGGTTTAAATTCATTTCCTATTCGTTTTCTATTTGTACCATTTGATCTGTGTTCCTTTCTATTTTTCTGCCCTCTTTTGAATTAAATAAATATTTTAAGGATTTCATTTATCTTATTTATTTGCTTATTAGCTATAACTTTTCTCTTTATTGTGGTTGCTCTGGGGCTTACAGTGTGCATTTTTAACTTATCCTAGTCTACCTTAAAATATTATTACACTACTAGTACTTCATGTATAATACAGCACCCTTAATGATAATGTTCTTCCATTTTCCCACTTTTCTTCCTTTGTGCTATTGTAGTCAGATATTTGACTTTTGCATATGTTATAAATTTCATGATATATTGTTACTATCTTGCATTTTTAATTTTAAAATGTTTATTAACTTATTTAAAATAAGAATAATAAATCCAGTACACATTAGCACAAATAACATGTTGTGGTAAAAAACAACAAAAAACCCTCTATTTTCTAAGACAAAAATTAATTTCATGAGAAAAATAACAGTGCTATACATTTGTGCACATCTGTAATATCTGGCTCATAGATGACAGTTGAGTTCTCATACCTGTTTCTACATTCAGCGTGTTTTGATGTTGTTTTTGTTAAAGTACATGAAAAAAAATTCACCCTCACATGGATATGTAGTTGGAAAAGGTTGGAGTATTTTAATAACCTTTTCCGATAATTATGGATATTCTACATTGATACTACACAAAAATTCTACATTTGGTAGTTTCTTAGTCATTCCACCACTGTACGCTTGACAGCTTCCCAAAACTTAAGCTTTGTTCCAGTGAGATCAGTGGTGATACCAGTTAATGCTGGTGGAATTTTAAACCATATTAACGAATTTTTTATATTCTTTTACATTAAAATTCACTCATCTTGTACTTTGAATCAATATATGACCCAACATATATATTGATTTTTTTGGAAAATATTGGTCCACTACGTTATGCAAATATTACAAATGTTGAAACATTTGATGCAATACTGAAAGAAAATCACATTAACTGGTATCACCACTGATCTCATTGGGACAAAGCTTAAGTTCTGGGAAGCTGTCAAGCTTATAGTGACAGAATGTTTTTCAAAATTTTAAATTTCACTAAAGTACATGAATATTATCTTGGCAACAAATAATGTCAATCTTTATTCTAAAGTGATCAGGTTACTTCATTTTTGAGAAAATAATCTGCCAAGGACCCAAGTATTTAATAATAGTTTTTCCATCAGTTGTTCTTTTAAGCAAAAATGGTGTTCCAGTAAAAGTGGCTACTTAAGCCATAGCTTAATCACAGGTGTGCTATTCCTCAAGACAACCACAGTAATACAGTTTATAACAGAAGCAACTTCTGCATACCTCCTATTTTGTCATACAATATTAAATCCAGGATCAAGAGTTAATAATTTTCAGTGCTTCCCCAAGGACATTCTTAAATAAAATTGGAGTTTTTTACTGTGAGTACATAACAGTAAAGAATAAAATAACTGCTGGTGTACTTTGGTGCTACTGCCTTAACTTGTACCATGGTGCCAGCAGTTTTACCCACCATTGCTTTTGCACCTCCATGTAAATATAAACCAACTTGCTCCAGGATAAACCATGAGATTCAAACAAGTTATTCAGCATTTTCAATATTTTAGTACTACTTGTGTTTGTTGCCAACCATTCACATGAAAAAGGTCTTCTTCAAAGATTACTTAATGCTGATAGTACAAGACTACAAGTAAAACAGCAAGTCCAGCCATTCGTAGCCTTTGTTTGTAAAGTGAAAGTATAATTCTGCAAATGAAATAACAACTAAGTCTTCATGTTTAGAGCTAAAGGTTTAAATAAGCAAGTTACTTTCCCATTGTAAACAGACAGTACCTGGGGGGGGGCAGGTAAGAGATCAAATGAAGGACTTGTATGCATGTATATAAGCATAACCAATGGACACAAGACACTGGGGGGTAGGGGAGGCCGGGGGAATGTCTAGGGGGGGGAAAAAGGAGACATATGTAATACTCTTTGTAATACTTTAAGCAATAAAAAAAATTAAATTGAAAAGAGACAGTACTGAG